GGCTGGCGGAACCTTGGACCCTGTAACAGGGAAGTGCATTTGGACGAACGATCAAATGGACATACCAGTCAGTAAGCTTAAGCAGTATATCGAAGCAGTGCAGGAAGGGACGTTCTTTCCAGACAGAGAGAACGACGAGCTCACAATGGCCCTCGGGAATCCTGAGCACCCTGGACGGACACGAGGCACGCCAGGCTCCATTCCGTGGAAGGTTGGGTTTCCGAACGCAGGCGGTTAAAAATCCCATGAGAGGAGGAAAAAAGTGCAGCAGACCCAAATGTAGGCGCTGCAAGCAAGGGTAGACGCGATAGAGGAACGAGAAGCAAATCGCAGCAAACGTACTGCCGAAGCCTCCCCCGAAGCTACCCCGCCATCTCAGCACAGAAGCAGCGTGGCTTCCACCGAGCTGCTTCAGCAGAGCATGCCTTGGCGGCTCCTGCCAGCTATCCCGTGGATGCTATCACGGAGTCTCAAAATTGCCACCTTATGACACAATGGATGAATTCGAAGGTCAAGGCGGCTGTTGGCTCTGTTTATCCTACTGAACCTGGCGCAACTTTTCACTGCCGGCCGATTCCAGAAGGATATGCTAGGGTGATGGTGGATGAAATAACAGAGGGATTTGAGGACCTCCAGCTTGACCACCCTACCGGTGAAGGGGAGACTCGGCTGGGGTCTGCTCTGAAGACTCCATGCCTATGGCGGAAGGAGCTCATCAACCTTCCAAACTGGACGCCTCCGCCTCCTCCGGCGAGTCAGGGCACTCCGCCTCCTCCACCGCCTCATCCTCCGGCGAGTGACGATCAGAGCCCTCGGACGGCTCCTTCTCCGACGCGTGGCGGCACTCCGCCTCCTTCTCCGCCTGCGCCGACGCGCCCGAGCAGCCAACCTCCTCCTTCTCCGCCTCGTCAGCAAGGGCGGAAGAGACCTGTCGCCGCTCCAGCTGCTTCGACGCGTCGTAGTCCTTCTCCTCCGCCTCGTAAGCAAGTAAAGAAGACAACCGCTCCGTCTGCTCGGTCGGCGTCTAGCAGTACAACCAGAGGCGGGTGGACATACAGATTCGGTCCTTCTCTGAAGACTCCAGAGAAGTTACCATACGAGAGGACCCCGGAGGAGAACGCGAAGATCGCGCGAACCGAAGTGGATGACTGGTTTCAAGGGTTGAAAGTAAAGAGACATCCACCTCCGGAGGAGAAGGTAGATCCGGTGAAACTGAAGCGCACTCTGGCTGCCCTGGCAAAACCATCCAAGTCTCCGCCGAAAGGCAACTATGAGCGCATTATTGCAAAGACATGGGCCGAAGCAGAGCGGTCGGGAAGTACACTCAGTGATCAAAGGCTGAAAGAACGACGAGAAGCTGGGAAACAAATTGCCCAGCTCGGCGAACAAGCGAAGCAATCGTGCCCCCCCCCCTCAAGGTGCCTAGCGACATCGTCGATCCGAGGATGGTGCCTGGTTATGGCAATGTTGACGATTACCTGCCTGACGATGTACATTATGATACCATGGAGGTGCAGATACACAGATACGAGTACGGGAAGCCTCTTGTCAAAGATGAAAAATCTTTAACAACGATGATGCGAAGATTACATGATTGGTACTTGAAAATCTGCAGAGAGTCTGGGGGGAGGAGTACTTTGTATGCGAGAGTTAAACCGGAGCATGACCTCGTTGGAATTGAACTGTTGCCTATTCCATTTGAGGAGTTCTATCAGTTTTCCAATCAATTGGCCCTCGATAAAACAACGATCACCTGCTACTGTCTGTAAGTACTACTACTTCTGTCATTAAGTCTCTCTATATAGCTCATCTCTTTCATTGCATGTATTTATAATTATCCTCACTATATTATGCAGAATGAAGATCGACGAATTGAAGAAAAGACAAATCGGTGATATTGGGTTCGTTAACACATATCTCATAGATGCAACTGAGGTTGAACATCGTCCCGGAGATACCGAGGCCAACTTGCTACGATCATTGAAAAAAAATGAAAACAAAGATATAATACTCTTTCCTTACAACTTCAAGTGAGTGTTACTGTCTTGTGCATATTCGGTTTCCCTTATATATTAGTCCAGGTTATAGTAATGTAATTGATGAGTTATGCATGCGTGTGCAGTTTCCACTATATTCTCCTAGAGATTAGGCTTGAGCAGGGAATAGTAACCGTCTTGGACTCTAAACGAAAAGATCCCCAGGAGTATGCAGACATGACTGAAATCCTCAAGAAGTAAGTTAAATCGATCATTATGCACCATATCAGCAACTTTGTTCATTTCCTGATATCAAGTAATTGTTTCCTTTGTTCGGCAGGGTTTGGAGAAAATTTACCAGAAAAGTTCCGGGACTGCCGAAGGAGCTGGAATTTAGACACCCGAAAGTAAGTACTATAGTACCATGTTCCGCGCATCTCCTAGTGATTCAAGCGCTAGTTTCATCAATACCATTTAGCATTCTTGCTTATCAGTTTGATTGACCTCTATTTCTTGTAAAGTGGTTGTGGCAGGAACAAGGGAATGATTTCTGTGGATACTATGTCTGCGAGTCCATCCGCCACACGACCTGTGAGCGGGGCGGGTACTCTGACGAACAATATGAAGTACGTAAATAACAACATTCACAATTTTATTTTATTACCATCATTTGTATTGAGTTTCATTCATTCATATATATATGTATTGACCCCCTTCTTCAAATTAGATGTTTCGGAAGCGGGATGAACTCCTAGCACCAGCTTGCATGCGAGCAATTCAAGAGGAATTAGCGGCATTCTTTCTTGACCAAGTGATCACTGAAGACGGAGAATACTATGTGGACCATGAGTCCGTATGATTATATTTGTAAGAGATAATTATTGTATATATGTAGCCGGTAGTGTCGGATAGATATACGAGAACTTGTTATTCGACCAATCTCTCGGAGAAGGAGAGGTGGTCGATATCACTTCTCTCTGTATGCATATATGTTCATGACGATCTTCTGTTTCCTTCGTTTGCTTACTAGCTAACTAGCGTGTCTAGTCCTCTCTATACGTATGTATACTACGTAGCGTCGGCCAAGCACGGACGTAAGAGAGGACACTTCTCTCTATTAATTATAGCTAGCTAACACAATATATGAAACACCTAAATTAACCCCCCAAAACCCCCAACCCCCCCCCCCCTTCAAAACAAAAAACAAAAACCCCAGCCACAGAAATGCTGACGCGTGGATGCCTATTGGTCCCGGTTGGTGCCACCAACCGGGACCAAAGGGTCTCCTGACTGGGCTCTGCGCACTGCCCACGTGGAGGCCCATCACTCCCGGTTCTGGATTGAACCGGGACTAAAGGGTCGGGGCATTAGTACCGACACTTTAGTCCCGGTTCAGGAACCGGGACTAAAGGCCCTTACGAACCGGGACTATAGGCCCTTTTTCTACCAGTGTTTTTCCACCTTCCTTTTCACCAGCAACCATAATTTCATTGAAGTCCCCTATAATCATCCATGGCCCTGTTGCATCATTATGCAGGGTTCTCATATGTGTCCACGATAGATGCTTCATGTCCCAATTTGCTTCTTCATAAAACCTACTCTCTCCGTTCTTAAATATAAGTATTCTTAGAGATTCCAATGCTGACTACATACGAAACAAAATAAGTGAATATACACTCTAAAATATGTCCATATACATTCTTATATTGTCCTTCTTGAAATATCTAAAAAGACTTATATTTAGGAATGGATGGAGTATTAAACACCAAGCCACACTATTGTCATCCATGTCAAAAGGATTTAACACCACTTCATTTGACAGATTGAAAAAAGGGCAAGACCTCCCGACCGTCCATCACTATCAACAATATGAAAAAAGATCAAAACCTAACTTCACCCTTAACTCAGTTGCCTTAGCTGTATTCGGATGGGATTCAGACAAGAAAATCTCATCCGCTTTCACACACCCTTAAAGATCCAAGAGCTGTTTAACTGCAGTGGGTGAAAGCATTGCACGACAGTTCCAATCTCATCCGGTCGGCGGAGACGACAATGTTGTTGTCTAGCCTACTCACTGAACCACGGCGATCACCGGAGACAAGGAAGAAACAAGAGAGAGAGAGAGAGAGGACACGAGGTTTCGCGGCGCACAAACGCTTCCGGCCGCACGAACATCCCCTTTTATTTCCGGCGAGCTCGAACTCTGCCACACGCACATCACCCCACCGTGAGCGCACATATACACTCCCAGAGGCTACATCATCTCTCTCTAGCTACTTTAGCTCTACCACCTGCCAGCACCTTAAGTAGTAGACGCGCACATACACAGCTCATGCACCGGCCACTAAGCCATGCCCACACGCATTAGCTAACCACTAACTACATGCACGCCCACGCACGTCCGCACTACATGCACGCCCAACGGCTTGGCTGACCCAGCTGCTCCACTTACGGTGGCACGGCACGAACGACCTGGCCAAGTCTTCGCGTGAACCATCCAGCCACGAACGGCTAGCTCCGTGAGTCCAACCACGAGCCCACGCATCAAGATTAATGCTATCAATCTCCTTCCTAATCTTGACATGCCTTGCCGTTGACCGTCGTCATGAACGCCTTCACTTGACATCATCATGCGCCTCCGCGCCCGCTGCGACGTGTCGTGTGCTTGCCGTCGCCGAAGTTGATGCAGCTCGCGTCGTTGTCGTCGTCACAGCCATGAGCCAGCCCGTGGACCCGACCTGGCGCACGGACGCCGGTTGCACCGTGCTCCGTCAGAACTCCGGCGGCTGCGGGGTCGCGGTTGCTCCTTCTGACCCTCCGCGCTGTGGCTATGTATGCGGCTGCTTCTACTGGACACAGCCTTGGTGTTGGAGTGACCATTTGATGGTGCTGGACACACGCACTCTGAGGTTTTCAACTATCAATTTTCTCACTGGCTACCATCTGCAGCTCACAGATACTGACCCCATCTTTGATAATCGGCGTCCAAATGCACCTGTTGTGGGTAGGGAAGTTGCCATTGAGATGTTTTCTCTTGTCTGTCAACACGGGACCTTTGCTCTCCACCATACCTCTCTGCAGAATAATTCAGATGAATGGGAGCTGAAGAAGATCATACAGCTGCCTGGGCAGTATTATGACTATTCTGTTTCCACAGTGGGTGCAGCCCAAGGAGTCTTGTTCTTCCAATGCGCTCCGGACGGCATTCACATAGAGAATGTGGATTGTTATTCAATGGACGTCAAGACGTATGAAATTACCAAAGTTTGTACGAAGATGGACGACTTCTTAAATCTCAAACGTGCTCTCCCCTACTTTAGCTTCCCACCGTTGTTATCGGAACCAACTATTTGATCGACTGGTAAGGCTAATTATTATATTTTATGTTGCCATTGGTTTCATGCTCTGCTTGCTCTACTCGCATGGTTATATAGAAAGTTGATTGTTGTTCTATTGGTCTTGACTACCTTGTCAAACTAGCTATGAGGGGAGAGAAGTGCATATTTCAACCCTGAACTTTTCCCTAGTCTAATTTACAACCCCGAACTCCAATACCGTCTAAATTACAACCCCCAACTCTCAAAACTGGTCAGGATTCAACCCTTCTCTCTCTGTTGACCGGTTTTTGACCCAGGTGACCAGTTTTGACCCGTTGACTAGTGAACAGTAAATTAAAATAAAATTGAAAAAAATTTTAATAAAATAAAAATTAATTTCGTTTTTTCCACAAGGTGAACAATAAATTCAAAAAAAAAAATAAGTGGAACAAAAGTAAAATTTCAAAAAATAATTTTGATTTTTTCACTGGCTAAACAGTAATTCAAAAAATACCAAAAAATTTAAAAAAATCCGAATATTTGTTGCATGGAAGATGTATCAATGTGTGAGGTCCGTGCCAATTTTCATCACGTTCGGACATCTGAGTAGCTCTCAGCCAAAAAAACAAAATCAGCCCAAACAGTGCATGAATAGTGAAATGTTTCATAGACCCCACATTTGTCTTTTTTGCTGATTGCTACTCAAATATCCAAACAAGCTAAAAATATTGTAACTTTTTTGAAATTACTGTTCACCAGGTGAAAAAAAATAATACTTTTTTATTTACTATTCGCCCAGTCAAAACCGGTCAACATGGCAAAACCGGTCAAGAGGTAGAGAAGGGTTGAATCCTTACCGGTTTTGAGAGTTGGGGGTTGTAGTTTAGACGGTATTGAAGTTCGGGGTTGTAAATTAGACTAGGGCAAGAGTTCGGGGTTGAAATATGCACTTCTCTCCTATGAGAGGTAGCAAATTCATGGTTTGTCTCTGCAAGCCTCTTCCGTTGGAAAGCTATTCTCTGTTGCCCATTCCTTAGGATAGAAATTGGCTTTCGTGCTGGCATCTTCATATAGTACATCTTTAGTCATCATACTTCGAACTTACACATCATCCATCCAATTGAACGATGATGATCAAAACAAGAATGTTGCATAACCAGTAAGCTGATGTTTGAAGGCCTTGAATATTCTATTTATGAGTACCCCGTATTTACCATGTTAGTTACGTTTTCAAGAACATAGGAGTCACCACTATGGCCTGCTAATTTTTATGTTTATTGCTTGCAAACAACAATAAAAGATGACTCTGGGATTTTTGGGGAGCATGAATAAGCAGCTTGTGCGCCTTTATTCTTAAGCTGCTGCAGTTTGGCATATGCCACCTTACTAGAACGTTTTTATTGCATGTACCGCAGTTGCTTCAAAAAAAATTAACTAAATATATGTATGCAGAGCTGCTAGCCTTGGACCATACATCTGGAGTTGAATAGAGCGTGATCAAATTGGTGCCTGTTATTATTATCAAAAATGTATGTCATTAAGACACATGTATGTATGTATGCAAGCATGGTATCCCCCCTCCTCTTCCTTCCTTTTATCCATGATGTTAGTCCAGATGGTCAATCAGTAACTGAGAGTAGTAGCTTTGTTCTGCATGAAATGAATGAGTTAATTTTGTAATGAAGGTACTTCTGATAAGTTCATATAGAATTCCTGCCAAATTTTGGATGAGCTGCTATGGTTTAGTTTCTTGAGTACCGAGCATGAATTTTTATCTTTGGCACTGAGCATGGGTGTTTTTCCTGACTACTGATGATGGATGTTTCCATAGAACCTGATGCATACAAACAGACTCTTCAAACCTGATGCGTGCAAACATCAACTTACTCATCAAACTTCAATTCAGAGCTTCAGCTTTCTCACATAAATGTACTCAAATTTGAGTTGAGAACATCAGGTCCTTTACCATCAAACTTCAGAGCATTCTCACATAAATGTACAGAAATTGCAGAAAGATTCTTTTCCTGTTTACAAGGCTGTAAACAGGAGCCATAAAAGCGAAAATTGCCTTTGGAGCTCGGCCTCCTTGGAGGCCTCTAAATTCAAATTTCAAATTTCATCAAAATTCATATTTTTACATTCCAAAAAATTCTCAAAAAATACAGATATACATGAAGGCATAACACACATGTGTGTAAATTTTCAGTGTAAAATACGTTGAAATGAGGGTTGTGCAAAAATAACAAATCTGGAGCTTTTTAACACATGATACTATTCATCCTCCCAGGCCATGAATTTGTCTTTTTTGTACAGGTTGCATTTCAAAGTATTTCATCCTAAACTTTTACGTACATACACATAACATCCTTGTTTACATGCACAATTTTTGTCAGATTGTGAAACCAAAATGTTTGAATTTTAAATTTTTTCAAAAAAAGGCCTCCATGGAAGCCGAGAGTCAAACGTCCATTCTCCAATAAAAGCTACAACACACCCACAAAATTGCCTACTCTTCTAGCACCAGAGTGAACCAAATTCCAAAAACTGTCTTACTAGCAAACTATCAGTACAGAAAAGAGCATGGTCTCTGCGTTTTACAGCCCAAATTCAACAAAAACTACTTTGAGTTTTTGACCCATCAATAAAACCCAATCTGGTATGCCACACAGCCTAAGCTGGCAAAGCAAAGTGATTCAGAGTCCTGCGAGCGCCTATGTGGCAGTTTCAGTAGCAGGCTGTGACTGGAATGCACGAGCCCGAGCTGCTGCCGCCCGGTCCAACACCCTGAGCCGGTTAGCCTCCATGCGGGCCTTCTGCTTCTCTGGCTTACTTACACCCCTTGCCCCCTCCATCTTGATACTCTCTACCTCTCTTGAGGCGAGGAATGTCCAGGGCCTACCTCACAAGATGTGATTCCAGGTTCCTGTTGTGTGCCATCAACACACATCATCGTAGATTCAAAAAAATATTCATACTAACCTAAAGAGTGTAGAGGCGCACCTTAAATAAACAATACTAGTAGATCATTCACAGCTTCTGTTAACTTTCATGGATGAGATGATTCTCATCGAACTTAAGTTTGTGTTTACTTAGAGCTAACAACAACTATGTCAGGGTCATCAAGGTATAGTATGAACTTCCATCAGCTGTCTTTTTGTAGATTCCGTTCAGCAATTCCTCTTGCATGGGTTCCATATTATTATTTTCCACCGCTGGTGGATCTATATCTTGCACTGACTCCATGCCATGATTGTCAGTCACTCGAGGTTCAGTCCCCAGGATTGTGTCTCCATCTGCAACAGATAACGAACAATTGCTATCATTTGAATGTATGAAATACAGGTTAAGGATCCAGGAAAGTGCACTACTAAACTAAAAGCCTAACGTGTGACCGTCTAAAAAACTCTAATGAAAAACTCTTCAATGCTACCTAACGTGTGATGGTCTTCGGCATGTTGGACTATTTGTACAAGAGGGTACAAAAGAGGAAATAAAAAGAATGACTATTCGCACGTGACATGTTTTACTGCTTGCACAATCTCTTATATTTAATGGATTAGAAACCATTGATTAGAGAAAGTGTGTTTGAGTATACCAAGAAAGGAATGAGGGCTCAAAGGCCATTGCTATTTTTCCAATCAGTTGCACTCAAAGACACTTTTGCTTTCAAACTGATTGAGGTCTATAGAAATAATATTATGTGTTTAAACTACTACATCCTGTACAAAAGATCGTAGGTTATTTATATAAACAAACTTCTAATTATTAAATTTTTATGATTTTTAATTTCTATATAAATAAAAATATATCTAAAAGACAATGAAATCTAGCACATCCGAAATTATCAGAGTTCGTACATTCAAGCATTAACTCACAATTAGAGTAATAGAGGGGACTTCTTCCTTGTCATCTTATGGTGTCACATGAGGCATGCCTAAATTAAGTGCACCGTTTATAATATTTGTAGTCCAACTAAAAATTAGGATTCCGGTTGCATGTTTTCATGTTGTGATAGATGCAATCCTCCCCATGGAACTAGTTCCTAATTAGATATCTCTTAATTCTTAATTTATGTTTTTGTTCTAATAATCAATAAAAAATACAATGTGATATACATATTTTTCCATGGATAGCTACACATACTTGAAATTGAAAACAACGCATTACATTATATGTGTTTTTTGTTTTCATATGCATCATTACCTCGTACAGGTTCTAGTTAGTATGGTGTTATTTCCATGTAAGTGCTAGTATAGATCATCGCAATTATTTTTTTTGAAAACCCAACCCATATATTAATTAAAATAGAATGTTCATACAATCATTCGCTACAGCATCAGCCAAACAGGCCGGAACACTATCAATAAGCGCGCCATCACATCTATTATTAAAACTAAACTTAGCTAACTCATGCGCCACCATATTAGCTTTTCTGCTAATCTTGGAAATCTTAATATTCGCCAGCATCTTAGAAATAGTCAACGCTTGTTTCTTCAGGTCAACAAGGGGGGATCTGTCACAATTGTCATTTCCATGAGCACCGACCACAAAAGAACAATCAGTTTCTAAAATAATGGATTTATGAAGGGTAATACCGATATACAATCCGGAGAGTGCCGCTCGCAGTTCCGCTTCCTCAGCGCTATAGCAAGCTCCAATATAATCCCAAGAGGAGATGACAATTTCTCCATAGTGGTTTCTGACAACCACCCCCACACTCGCTGCGTTGATTGCCTCCACAAAACTTGCATCTACATTAATCTTAAAGCACCCCTCGTTGGGAGGTTGCCAACCAACAGAACTCCTCTCCATGTTATTCAAAGCCCGAATGTCATCCCCCAGTTCCTTGCCTTTGTTACTTATCACTCCCTGCAGTTTTGTGTGGCAAGAAGAAAAGGAAGCCCAGTAATTTTGTACAAAATTCATGGAAGCTGAGACGGGTTCTTTACCTTTACCAAAAATCAGATCATTTCGTAAATGCCAAGCTCTCCACAACATGAATATAGTTTGCTCGCGCGCCAACGGGTTTAATTGATC